TACTATATTTTTAAAGAATGCAGAGGAAGGAACTTGACTTGTCATATAGTGGAAAGAAGACAGAATTCAGATCCTGGCTCTACCTGCTGTGAGGAGCTTCGGGCAGGTTAGTTCATCTCTCCGAGCTTCAGTTTCCTAATCGGAAACTGGGGCTAAGAACCTACATCACAGGGGCGCCTGGGTGGCTTAGTCAGTTAAGCGTCCGACTTCCTCTTAGGTCATGATCTCGCGGTTCGTGGGTTCGAGCCCTCCGTCGGGCTCTGTGCTGCCAGCTCAGAGCCTGGAGCCTGTTTCAGAGTCTGTGACTCCCTCTCTCTCTGACCCTCCCCTACTCACGTTGTCTCTCTCTCTCTCTCTCTCTTAGAAATAAATAAAACATTAAAAAATTTAAAAAAAAAAAGAACCTACATCACAGAGTCTCTATCAGGATTACACACGATAGACATTCAGTGCCTAGGAAAGTATGCTGAATGAGAGGTTCCATGAGATGACCATTTTAAAGTTTAGCCAAGGACAATGAGAAAGAATGAAATCTGGCCATGTGTAGCAACATGGATGGACCTTGAGGGTGTTATGCTGAGCGAAATTAAGTCAGGCAGAGAAGGACAAATATCATATGTTTGCATGTATAGGAGGATTAGGAGGAACTTGACGGAGGACCAAGGGGGAGAAGAAGGGGGGAAATGGTGGGGGAAAGGGAGAGAGGCAAACCATGAGAGACTCTTGAATGCTGACAAAAACTGAGGACTGATGGATGTGGGGGGGAGGGGGGGATGGGCATGGAGGAGGGCACTTGTGGGCATGAGCACTGAGTGTTATGTGGAAACTAATTTGACAATAAACTATTTGTAAAAAAATAAAAAAATAAAAAATAAAGTTTAGCCAAGGAAAAATGACTGCATAAACAGGAAAATATATTCATATGGTAACACCTCTTTTGCTTTTTAAACCGACCTCTTAGAAAGACGACCTCCCATCTTGTGCCATTTTTGGCCTTGGTTCATAAAGGAGACGTCGCATCCATACTCTGGTTCTTCCCTCTATTCCTTCTCCTTCCCTACATACACGTACGCTAGGAAAAGACCCAGTCATCTGGCTGGCAGGGCCTGACTCATTCGGCAGGGTTTACTGGCAGTGGGCAATTGCTGCGACTGGAAGGCAGGGCCCTGGCCTCACTTTCTTATGTCCTTCACCCAGCCTCACTGTCCCTCTTCCTATTTCGTCTTCCATTCCTAGCCTCCAGGTTGGCAAGGTCTCTCCATAAGAGGAACCCCTGTCTCTACTTTGTCTCTCGGCTCCATCTTCTCCTGTTCAGCTGGAAGAGGAGAGCGGACAGACTTGAGAGGGGTGAGTAGGAAGCCCAGCTGGGTTTCCAGACCTAAGGCTCTAGAGCACACCAGCCGTGCTTACCTGACAAGCCCTGCATGAGTGTGGTGGGCATGCAGCCCTTGCCCGGCTGTACGGTACTCCAGCACTGCTCTTCTGCATAACTCACCCAGCAGGTAACACTGGAGGTCAGGTGGTAAGGAGGAGGAGTTTATTCACACACCCTTTCCTTCCTTTCCTTAATGACTGAATTAGATGGGTACAATAGGTTATGCCTGTGAACATCATCAAGAGGGGTGACTATTTTATTTTATTTTTATTTTTTAATGTAATCTCTATACTCAACGTGAGGCTCAAACTCACGACCCCAAGATCAAAAGTTGCATGCTCTACCAACTGAGCCAGGTAGGCGCCTCAAGAGGGATGACTATTTTAACTCTTAGTTAGCCTGCTAACTTGAATTCAAATCCTAAGCAACCTTTCAAGATAACCCGAGACAATCTTTTGCACTCAAGTCCTAACTGCCATGGTTTGGGAAAGGTAGTCTGGCTCCAATCTACTCTGACACTAAAGATCTCAGGGTTCTCTGGGGAGGAGTCCTAGAGTCGTGTGAGCTCTTGGCTCAGTGTTCTGGGGACTGAGAGCCACAGCTGACTAGGAAGAGGCCTGCTTAGGGCAGGAATTGACCTTCTCAACACATTCAGTCTCAACCCGAGATAAACTATTTTTCAGTGTTGGGAGGCGGTGCCAGGCAAAGCATCAGAGTGAAATGAGACTATTAGGGTGCTTCTACGTCTAGACATAAATAAAAATGTCAGAAGAACTTCATACTAATGACAAGTAAAATGTCAGGGGGATTGGAAATCCCCCCAGGTAAGAATTTATGGATACGTCTTGAACTCTAGTGTTCTACTACTACTTCAGGGTCAGCCTGACTAGCAACTAAAAATTTCAGGCATAGTGTTGACTGTTGCCTGGTGCTGTGTCGGAAACCCACTGATGGAAGATACGGTTCCTGCATTCAAGAAGCTCATGTTAAGTGACTCAAACAGTGTAAAAGAGTACTTGTCCCAGGGAAACATAGATTTTAGCAGGGATCCAAGGCTTAATATATAGGACTAAAGTTAAGTATCACAGGAGACACAACCACTCTTCAAAGTATTCTTCAATGAATGCAGATCAAAACCACACTGAGATACCATCTCACGCCAGTCAGAGTGGCTAAGATGAACAAATCAGGAGACAATAGATGCTGGTGAGGATGTGGAGAAACGGGCACCCTCCTACACTGTTGGTGGGAATGTAAACTGGTGCAGCCCCTCTGGAAAACAGTACGGAGATTCCTCAAAAAATTAACAATAGAACTCTCCTATGACCCAGCAGTAGCACTGCTAGGAATTTACCCAAGGGATACAGAAGTGCTGATGCATAGGGACACATGTACCCCAATGTTCATAGCAGCACTTTCAACAATAGCCAAAACATGGAAAGAGCCTAAGTGTCCATCAACGGACGAATGGATCAAGAAGATGTGGTTTATCTAGGGCGCCTGGGTGGCTTAGTTGGTTAAGCGTCCGACTTTCGCTTAGGTCATGAACTCGCGGTTCGTGGGTTCGAGCCCCGCGTCGGGCTCTGTGCTGACTGCCAGCTCAGAGCCTGGAGCCTGTTTTAGTCTGTGACTCCCTCTCTCTCTGACCCTCCCCTGCTCACACTGTCTCTCTCTCTCTCTCTCCTAGAAATAAATAAAACAGTAAAAAATTTAAAAAAAAAAAAAAAAAAAGAAGATGTGGTTTATCTATACAATGGAATACTACATGGCAATGAGAAAGAATGAAATCTGGCCATTTGTAGCAACGTGGATGGAACTCGAGGGTGTTAATACTGAGCAAAATAAGTCAGGCAGAGAAATACAGATGAATGAAACCCTGAAGGGAAATACCTCATTTAGTAAATACCTCATTTAGTAAAGAATTTCACAAATTTTAGATTTCTATCCCTTCTCTTCCTCTTTGTATCTTTGACCTCGTAACTTCTCTTAGTTTCACTCTTCTCATAGCACAGAAGAATGACATCAGTCATCAGTTACTGTCAAGAGCCAAAAGGGAAACTACACAGACCAAAAAGAGGAAATCTTTATATTTCAGAAATTTCTAGAAGTTAAGGAAAAAAGTCCTCTTTTTCCCTTAAAAACCTAAAATAATGTGGAAAGAGAGTGATCTATTATTACCTTGAAGTATGATAATATTATTTTAAAGCAATAAACCCAGTCCATTTGATACCATAGTTTGTGATCATAATTTGTAAAGTTTTTAATCTACTTATTTTATTTTGAAAACCAAGGTAAGTCCTTTTAAAGGTAATATGTTCAGGCTGGTCTTATTACTCGGTTCAGAGGATGAAAGAATGTTAAGTTCGATTAAAAGAAATCAACCATGATGTAATTCTAGATTTTTTTTGCCTTTAGACATCATTTGGTCACCATAGTAACACAGTACTTTACTACCAGATATCTATACAGCACAAAGGGAAGAGAAGAGCAGGCAATTGCTTACTGGTTATTTGGGGGTACAGAATGTGACTACTGAGATAATTGAAGATTGAATATAGATTCCACTGGGGATCTGTTTTAGCAAGGGATGCTGATTTGATCTTCTAGTAACGTCAGCTGAACAAAATTTGTAGCCAAATTAACTGTTGACATCATTCGAAATAACACAAGCAGGGAAGAAGCATAGCTTAGTAGTTAAAATCATGGACTCTGGTGTCAAGTTTCTTGGGTCCAAATCCTGTGTCTACTGTTTGCTAGCTGTATGATCTTGGAAATGTTCCCTGACTTCTCTGTCTCTTCTTCATTATCAAAATGTGGGTACTAATAATACCTCCCTCAAAGGATTATTATAAAGATTAAATGACTGATTATTTCTGCTTAGAATGATGTCTTGCACATAGCAAGAACTTTATACGTATTTGTTAAAGGTGAAATAAAATTTAAATTTGCCAGCTTCCCTCTTTGGGGGTAGGTAGGAATGGTCAAAGATACCAAAATTTGAGTACAGAGCAGATTATTTTAGCCCGTAACTTTGGAAGATTCCTTTGATAACTTCCTGGGAGCCTTCTTGAGAGCTTTTCTATAAGATTTGGAAGTCAGTGTCACTCTACTATGTGAAACCAGAGCTGGAAATAATCTAAGCTCTCCTGGTATCAGGAACATCAGAAGGAAGACAATGGCACAGCACAAAGAAACAGCACGCCCGCCTGCTCAGGCTCAGTGAGCCACTGCCAATAACCTCGGGGCACACGGGCACAGAATAAGCAAGGGAGGAAATGAGATTGTATTGGAGTGACAACCAAATCTAGTTGATTCCAGTAATATTAGTTTTTTCCTCTTTCCAGGACTCAAAGAAAAAAATCATTGTCACCAATTAGTACTTTGCTTTGTTAATTATCATGGTGCAAAATTTCCACTGATTTTTCTTTAACAGGCACTTACTCTGGTAAATTATTCATTTTACAGAACTATCTAGGCATCTTTTCTAGACCTGTAACAAATCTAAAGCCCCTAAACAACATCTAAGCCAGGACAAAATTTCTAAATTACCCAGAAAAAAAGAAGGTACTATGTCCTCTAAGCCAAATTACAGCTGCAATAATATCACGGGATCCCTAGCACATACCTTCATCTGGACTTGATTTCAGGGATGGTCTCCTTTGGTCTTCTCCGTCAGGAATAACCCTTGCATAGGAGTTTGGAGAATTCCATAAACCACCAGGAAAGCTTGGGAACATATTCATTTCTGTCCTCTGTCTTCCCCTTGGCTTCTAGCCTGCTTCCTGGTAAGAAGACAAGATGACGCTGTGCTGGGTTGACTGTTAAATCATCTTCCCGCCCCCAGCCCCACTCTCTTGGTGCCCCTCCCTTCTCCTTTCCAAGGCTCTGGAATGTGTCACATGGGAAATGGATCACGTGGCTCAAGGGGGAAATGTGGCCATCTTCTATCTCCCTTCCCCCACTTTTCCTTTCAGGAGCAAAGCAGCAGAAATCTCTGACTTGATAGGCTCTGACCAAAAATCTCCATATGACAAGGAAAAGAGTCAACCAAACCTCCAGCCTTCTCCACTTTCTTTTTTGTTTTATTTCTCATCTGAACGTTTTATTATGGACAGAGTTGCTTCATAGTGCGGGGAAATGATGCTTTCTTCCCAGCCCCTTTCTTTCTTATTATCAATACCCTAACGTGACAAGGTATTCCCTAACCCTCCCCGCCTCCATCTGGAACCCACTTAGCATAACTGAGACAACTGAGTGTTCAGCACCAAGGACAGCATTACACCCCCCCTTCAGCGTTCATTAAAGCCGTTTGTCTGTCTACTTCACTCTCAGGTAAATAAAAATATTTTAAAAATATTTCCCTGAGGTCTTGTGTCTAAAATATGTCAGACCATATATTTAGGGCTCTGATGTCCCCTACTATCAATTCATTGCTACCTTATAAATACAAATAGAATTTTTACATACCATTACAAAGACCATCGCATGCCTACCTACCTCCCTGTCCCCATCCCATCACCCATACCCACCCTTCAGATACGCTCCATGCTTTAGGGGGAGGGGAAATTCTCATAACATAGTTTACTATACACCCATATATATATGCTCATGAACAAAACAAAAAACAGAAACACACAGGATTTCTGAAGTGTGTATATCAAGATGTCCTTAGCCCCATTCCTAGCCCTCAGGCAGGGATGAATTAGAGAGGCAGGGAAGAAGCCTAATCGAAGCTGTTTTGTGCAGGGTCTGTCCTGCTTTGCTGACGTCCCTGTTGCCATGGTGCTAGGTAACTGCTGAAGGGGATGATTTCTTTCAGAACCGGTCACCATGGGACCCTGTGGACTAAAGAAAGGAAGAGGGAAAAGGACTGAATTGCTGAAGAGGACTTTCAATTAGCATTTTCAGAGCCAAATTTACCTAATGGGTCCTTTCCTTACTGAATTGTTGCTGACCCTAAATCCTAAGAGGATTCTAGAATTTAGTATGGACACTGTGATGGACACTGTGATGGTAACTCCCTCCATACTCCACTGCTTCTCTCCCTAAAAATCTAAATTTAGGGACAATTGAATGAAAATGCCAGCTTCACAGGGTGACTGCAAGTGCCATCACAGAGTTGGGGGAAGGACACAGGAACCTATATTTTCCTCAGATTGGGACTTCTGACTTTTATGAGGCCATTTATCTTAAGTCCTAACAGCCTAAACTTTACAACCAAACCTGATTGTTGACACAAGGAACAATTTGAGAATGTTTTACAATGTTATAGGAGAAGTGACAAATATTTTTAAACGTGAGTTGCTGAATTATATTAAATGAAAATAAATTTGATTAAAGTCAATCCTTTGGGTAGTATTTGAACTACCCCAAATTAGGAATTTAAGCAAGCTCTATACTTATGTCATTAGGTTGGCATATAACTGATTGTTTCTAACTCAGAGTCCTTACCATGGCAATTTTAGATATTTATTTTTGGGGGGAGAAATACTTTCAAAATTTTTCTTAATGTTTATTTTTGAGGGAGAGAGAGACAGAGTGTGAGCAGAGGAGGAGCAAAGCGAGAAGGAGACACAGAATCCAAAGCAGGCTTCAGGTTCCAAACTGTCAGCATGGAGCCCAATGCAGGGCTCAAACCCACAAAGGTTTTGACCCAAGCCAAAGTCAGATGCTTAACCAACTGAGCCACAGAGGCGTCCAAGCAGAAATACTTTCAATGTGTAGGAATGCAAACTCTATTTAAAAAAAAAAAAAAAAAAAAAAAAGGCGGCACAGGAGCTGGAGTATAATTTCATGAAATCAAAATTCCTTCCTGGCTCAACATTCACAGCGTAAGATGTATTTACTTCTTTTATTTTAGGAGAAGAGTCAGGTTAATTCCAGTATTTCTAAATAAGACAGAGAATTTCAACTCTGCTAATTCTAATGCTTGTAGCTTTCAGAAAATTCATTTATCAGGAAAGCCGATAGGTGTTTGAAGAAATTCTTAGAAAGCCAGCAGGATGGTGACTTAGATATCATCTATCTTTTCTTAGTCAATAATAGTAACAAGAACAACAACAAAAACAGCTAATGTTTAACATGTCCCAGGTATTTAGTACATGTCATTTAATCCACCTACCTAACCATGAGACAGGTACTCTTATAGATTTTCTTGTTTTATACAAGAGACTGAGGCTTACATAGGATAAGTAATGTGCCCCAAACTGCACAGCTAGTTAGTGTGGGAATAAGGGTTTGGAACTATTTAATCTTACTCCAGAGCAGACACACTATACTATTCTGCATCGTGTATAATGGACTAGACTAAAATTACTTGTCAATTGATTGTAATGTGATTCACTACTAAGGGCCTCTGACAGGAGAAATTTTAAAAATCACTTTAAATTATCTGAGACCAGGGCACCTGGGTGGCTCAGTCAGTTAAGCATCAAACTCTTGATTTTGACTCAGGTCATGATCTCATGGTTTGTGGGATCAAGCCCTGCACTGGGCTCTGTACTGATGGAATGAGGCCTGCTTGAGATTCTCTCTCTCTCTCTCTCTCTCTCTCTCTCCCTGCTTGCATGCTCTCTCCCTGCTTGCATGCTCTCTCTTTCAAAATAAATAAGTTAACTTAAAAACATCATGAACTTTCTGATTGCTTTAAACCAAACTGAAAGCAAACTACTGTCCAAATGTCTGAGAGATTCATTAAAATAGTTTTCTTAAGGGGGGCCTAGGTGGCTCTGTCAGTTAAGCATCCAACTTTGGCTCAGGTCATGATCTTGCGATTTGTGAGTTTGAGCCCTACATCAGGCTCTGTGCTGACAGCTCAGAGCATGAAGCCTGCTTTGGATTCTGTGTGTGTGTGTGTGTATGTGTGTGTGTCTGCCCCTCCCCTGTTCATGCTGTCTCTCTCTTTCAAAAGTAAACATTAAAAAAAATTTTTTTTAAATAGTTGTCTTAAAACAAAGCTCTTTCTACAGAAGAATGCCAGCTAATGAGTGTAGAGTCTAATACTTAGGACACCATTTTTGCAGCCCTCAATGAAATAACCTATTCAGTAAAGGAATGGGTATTCAAACTATTAAATGAGGACAGGTTGTTTGTAGATGATTTGCAAATTGCAAAGGCAAATGTATCCTGGAAGGGGGGGTTGGGTGGGGTGGTCACCATCTTAACTAGGTGACCAAATTTAGTATCACTAGTAGTGAGACAACTTGTAATCATGTGCCAACATGAAGCAATGTGAACTATCTAATATTACTAATGAAGTATTCTCTCTAAAAACGTTTGACCTAAATCTAAACAAGCTTCTATTCATAACGTCTAGTCTTTTTTTTTTTAAAGGGCAGGAGTTGGAGAACAAGTTATAAGATGTTATGATGAAATAATCAGCCAAATCGAGAATACAGATTATTTATTCTACAAGGGAACTCATCTGGACTTATTAAAAATCAATGTCGTGAAATGAAAATAAAACGGGGGCGCATGGGTGGCACAGTAGGTTAAGCATCTGACTTATGATCTCGGTTCAGGTCATGATCTCACAGTTCATGAGTTCCATCCCCATATCGGGCTCAGCAGAGTCTGCTTGGGATTCTGTCTCTCCTTCTCTTTGCCCCTCCCCTGCTTGTGTACCTGTGCTCACTGTCAAAAGAAATAAATAAACTAAAGAAAATAAAAGAGGTATGCTGTTTGAAGAGTGTGCTGTTACAGATTAAAAGAGACTATAGACCACAACTGCAAAGGATATGATTTGCTGACATGCTGACTGGGGATGGAGAGAGAATGGATATAAAGGAGCTATAAAATATTTTGGGGGGGGGGGGGCGTCTGGGTGGCTCAGTTAGTTAAGCTTGAGCATCCAACTTTTGATTTTGGCTCAGGTCGATCAATTAGCGTGGAGCCTGCTTGAGATTCATTCTCTCTCTCTTTCTCTCTCTCTCCCTCCCTCTCTCCCTCTGCCTCTCTTCTCCACTACTGTTCTCCTTCTCTAATAATTAATTAATTAATTAAAATATTTCGGGGACAGTTGGGGAAATTTGCATTATGAAATGAAGATTAGATGACATCACAGAATTGTTATTTATATTAGATGTAGGAAAGGAATTGTGGTTTATAGGAGAATTTTCTTGTTCTTAGGAAATGCTTAAGTATTCAGGATAAAGTGTCAAGACAAATGTAAGTTACCTTCAAAGGGTTCAACAACAAGATAATATATGTATGTATATATACAGAAAGCACGAGAAAATACAGCAAAACAATACAATTGGTGAAGCTAGGTGAAGAGTGTATGGGTGTTTATTGTACTTGTATTTAAACTTTGTCCTCTGAATGAAAAAGTAATAAATACTGTTCTATGGTAGAACAAGGACATGCCACATGGAGCCTGTCCCTTTCCAGCTCAGGTTTAATGAGAAAGAAGAGTGATAAAGGATTATAAAGCAATCAGAAAACTGGGCCTCACTTCTTTCTAGGACAAAGTTGGATATGAGTGTATTCATTTTCTACTGTGGCTATAACAAATTACCATAAACGTAGTGGCTTAAAACAACACAGATATTAAAGTCTGTAGGTTAGAAATCTGACATGCATCTTATTGGGCTAAAATCATGGTGATGATAGGGCTGCATTCCTTTCTGGAGGCTACAGAGAGAGAATCTATTTCCTTACCTTTTCCAGCCCCCTCCCCCCCACTCCTTGGGTCATAGCCCCCTTACTCCATCTTTAAAACCAACAGCTTTGTACCTCTCTAACCATTATTCCATAGTCACATCTCCCTTTGATTCTGACCTCA